ATCACAAATAGCAGCATCTCTGAAAATCCCTGGCGGGACAGACAGCCCCTGTCAAACTTAAACATGAATTCTGGCTCACGTGACCCACGTCCAGGTTTGTTAGCTTTGGGTGCAGCTTGATCTGGGTGAAACGACAAACCTGTCTGTTTTCATCTCGGCTCTGCCGTCTTTCATGGGGTCGTGGTGTGTTAGCAGGAAGGAAGCTGGTGACTCCAGGCCTTCCTCCTCCCAGGTTCAAGGCCGGCAAAGAGAGCAGTCTCCCACCTTCTCTCCACATTGCTAGCCCCAAACTGCTTTTGCTTCTCACCATGACTGGGCCCGTGCCTGCCCTGAAACCTGCCACTGTGGCTGGAGTAGGGGTAGACTGGGAGTGCACGAAGCTGGGCCCCGACTTCTCCTGGAGCTGGCACAGGGGAGCTGGAGGGCTTTTCTGCCTCTGTGTCTTCAGTGCTGCATGACAGCAGGGGCATCTGCTAAACGGTGCCAGCTGCGCCCTGGCACCTTGTGTGGGTGTATTAGTTTGTTGTTTTGCTTCCCTTGGCTTTGGTTGGGTGGGAAGGTCATCGTGACTGTGCTGCAGGCCTGACCGGCAGGCTCTCTCACCCCCCGTTCCGGGAAACCTAGCCCCGGGGAAGCGGTCCTGGCAACCGGGTCTGCCTCTGATTTTTCAGTCGCGGGCTGGTTCACATAAAAGTAACCACGTTTAAGTAACAGTTCATTGGCTTGTTCATTTACAGTGTTGTGCAGCTGTCACCTCTATCGAGTTCCAGAACATTCTCATCACCCCAAAGGGAGAACTCCATGCTAATCACCAATCAGTCGCTCCCCGTATTCATCTGTTCTCACACTGTGAATAAACGCATGCCCGAGACTGGGTAATTTCTAATAGAAAAAGGTTTAATTGACTCACAGTTCAGCATGGCTGGGGAGGCCTCGGGAAACTTACAGTCCTGACGGACGGCGAAGCAAACACATCCTTCTTCACATGGCAGCAGCAAGGAGACGTGCAGAGCAAAAGTGGGGAAAGGCCCTTAAAAACTGTCGGGTCTTGTGAGAACTCTATCACAAGAACCAGGATATGGGGAAACCGCCCCCAAGATTGAATGACCTCCCCTTGGTCTGTCCTACGACACATGGGGATTATGGGAACTACAATTCAGGATGAGGTTTGGGTGGGGACACAGCCAAGCCGTATTACTCCTCACTACCCCTCCTCCTTTTTCCTGGCAGACACTCGTCGCTGTCCATCCGTATGGATTTGCCTATTCTGGACATTTCATGTACGTGGACTCGTACACACTGCAGCCTCTTATGCCTGGCTGCTTTCACTCAGCATCATATTCTCAGGGTTCATCCACAGTGTAGCCTGGGTCAGTGCTTCAATCCTTTAAAAAAAAGAAAAAGATGGGGTTTTGCTATGTTGCCCAGGCTGGTCTTGAACTCCCGGGCTCAAGCAGTCCTCCTGCCTCGGCCTCCATGCCTGGCCCTTCACGTGGCATTGTATGGATATGCCACATTTTACTTAGCTGTTCATCAGGTGATGGACTGACTGCAGTTTTGCTGTGAATCAAAGCTAAACCCGAATCTTAAAGAAGAACCGTAAGTTTCCAGCAACTTTTCCAAGCGTCGATAGTGGTTGCCAGCTGCTGCTGCTCCTGGTGCTGCCCATTAGCCCTGGGGATGGAAACTTACTTTTTGTTAATGTTGCTTTGGAGTGTTACTCCCAGGTTGGATGAGTGGTTTGCTCTCACGGTTTTAGGGTGGCCCGGTTCCCAGAACCCCCATTCCACATCCTCGTCCTTACTGTGTTCTCTCTCTTCTTGGCCTGGTTCGAAGCGCAGAGATAGGGTAGCGGAGATGTTTCTTGCCACTGGTAGTGCCGCCGGCTTCTGGGTGCCATGCTTGCTGCTACCACTTGTCTTAAGAACCTCAAGAAATGACATGGGCTGCAGGGAGAGACCAGCCAAGCCCCCGAGGTGGACCGCAGTGAGGGGCTGCGCGGTGGCATTGGGACTTGGGTCTGACGTCAGTTGGCACAGAAGGGGTGTTGGGCACTTCGGGCAGCAGAGCCAGCCTGTGCAAAGGCCTGGGGGTGCCAGATGTGTGAGCTGTCTGTGGCTTGCTGTGGGTGAGGTCGGGTGCCGTGGCCCTGCCTGCTCTCCCGCTGGGGAGCAGTGAGCCCGCACCCCCTGGTACATGCACACGCTTCCGAGGCTTTTCCTAGGACTTTTTCTCTTACACACGTTTCTGCCTTTAATTTCTGGAGGTCCTGCACTCTGGGTCCCTGGAAGGGGTGCTGCTTTGGTGCCTAGGCTCAGCCCCATGGTTCTGTGCAGTGAACGGATGTGTGGCCGGGACCCCATTTCTGATATGGGCGCCCCTGCAGCCTCCCCCTTCCAGCACCTTCCAAGGTAGGGTGCTGAGTGCCTTCGGCATGTCGTCAGACAGTAATCCCACTTCCCACGGTGGTTGTGACAGTTACATGGATTAAGACTGGTGAGTTGCTTGGAACAGGAGGCCAGCAAACTCCAGCAAGCTCCAAATCTGGCCCTCAGCCTGTTTTTCTAAATAAAGTTTTATTGGCACACAGCCATGCCCATTGGGTCCCCATCACCTGTGGCTGCTTTTGCAATACAGTGGCAGGGGCAAGTAGAGGAGACAGACCTTGTGGCCCTCAAAGCTCGAGATGTTTTTACCATCTGGCCCTTTATAGGAAAGTGCGAGGGCCTCTGGCATCCACTCCCTGTGGCCTCCAGGCTCCCAGTTTCCTCCTCTAATGGAGATGAAGCAGCAGCCCCCTTGGAGGGCTGCTGTGGGGTCTGCTTCATGGGGTATGGGGAGCTCTGGGATGCGCTGAGTCCCTGGCGGAGGTGGCCTGAGGAGCAGGGAGGACTACATTGGGCGACTGAGGCATATGAGCCCTTGTCTGCATTTCCCTCGAGAAGTCCATATGTGTGGAGGGAGCACCAGGTGCCTGCTGTCCTTATCCCCACATCTCAGATGGTAACAGAGTCCAGAGGCAAACCTAGTGTGACCCCAAGTCTTCTGGCCCTTGTGGGCCTTGCTGAGGCTCTGTGGGTTGAGGGGAGGACAGAGGCCCTGAGGATGCAGGAGTGGACAGAAGATGACGCAGCCTCTGTGAGTCCCGAGGTGGGGGTTACCCGGTGGCCCCAGGCTGCAGTTGTCCTGGGAATAATGCACCCTGTGTCCTCTGGGTGCAGCTGCCGTGGGGGCGGGGAGGTGGTAGCCTGGCGCTGCTCTGGGCCTTGTCTGCCAGCAGCTGCCAGCTTGGCCCTGAGGATGGCACGGGGCGGGGTCTGGATTCCTGGAGCCTGGGTGGGGGTACCATCCCAGCCAGGGGCATGCCAGGCTTAGAACCATTAACTCATCAAGACTCGCAAGGACCTGGGAGGTGCGAGCTGTTGTTCTCCCCATTGTACAGATGAAAAAGCTGAGGCAGGGAGCAGCTGAATGATCTGCTTGAGGTCACGGAACTGGAGAGTGGCAGAGGGGGCTGGGATTTGAACCTAGGGCTGCACAGCAAGGACTGTTTTTTGTTCTTTTTGTTTGTTTGTTTGTTTGTTTTTGTAACGTTATCCCGAGAGTGCTCCCAGCACTGCCTGGGTGCAGCAGGCTTTAGCGGGTGGGAGGAAGGCATCCGTGGATAACTGAGTGCAGGCTGCCTTTGTTGTTAAGCACATTTTCATAAACAGCTGTATTACACAAAGGGTAACTCTCCTTGAAAGAAAATCAGAAATCATCTGGGCAAACAGAAAGAAGAAAGTAAAAACACCGTCTTCTGCCCTGCTGCCTAGATCACTCCTTGTAGCTTCTCTGCAGCCTGTTCTGGTGGCTTTTCCGTGTGTTTGGGATACATGTTGTCTGCAGAGCCACGTGTGTGCTGGCTGCATGGTTCTGGAACCTGCGTGTTTGGACCGTGCTTCATGAACGGGTGTTTGCAGAGGGTCCGTAGAGGCCAGGCCTTGGGGAAACGAAGGCTGTGGGTCTTGGTTCCTTGGGCTGGTGGGGATCACACAGATGGAGTGAGTGGAGGAAGAGAGGTGTGTTACGGGAACAGGGTGTGGGAAGACTTTGCAACTTGAGGAGAAGCCAGGAAACCATCTGTGTAGCCGGAGCGTCTGAACTGCATCTGGAGGCTGTGAGGAACTCTGACCTTTGGAGAATGGGTAACGCCTGGGATAGGGATGGCCTCGTTGAACAGGTGGGACTGTCCTGACAGCTGTCCAGTCCTCTGGGCCTGGAATCAGGGACGGAAACTGGGGGTGGACTGTGGAGGGGGTGTGTATTAGTCCATTTTCATGCTGCTGATAAAGACATACCCAAGACTGAGCAATTTAAAAAAGAAACAGGTTTAATTGGACAGTTCCACATGGCCGTGGAGGGCTCCCAGTCATGGCGGAAGGCAGGGAGGAGCCAGTCATGTCTTACATGGATGGCAGCAGGCAAAGAGTTAGCAACTGTATCAGTCAGGGTTCTCTAGAGGGGCAGAACTAATACACACACACACACACACACACACACACACACACACACACACGAGAGTTTATTAAAGAGGATTTATTCACACGATCACAAGGTCCCACAAGAGGCCATCTACAGGCTGAGGAGTAAGGAAGCCAGTCCGAGTCCCAAAGCTGAAGACCCTGGAGTCCGATGTTCAAGGTTGGGAAGCACCCAGCATGGGAGAAAGGTGTAGGCTGGGAGGCTAGGCCCGTCTAGCCTCTTCACACTCTTCTGCCTGCTTTGTATGTGCTGGCAGCTGATCAGATGGTGCCCACCGGATTAAGGGTGGGTCTGCCTCCCCAGCCCACGGACTCAAATGTTAATCTCCCTTGGCAGCACCCTCACAGACACACCCAGGGTCAGTACTTTGCATCCTTCAATCCAATCAAGTTGACACTCAGCATTAACCATCACAGGGCATTACAGACTAGGGTGTCCCCTATGCTGACTGCATGCCCGTTTTTTCTCTGCCACAGGACCGTAGCCTGACTGGCAAACTGGAACCGGTGTCTCCCCCCAGCCCCCCACACGCCGACCCTGAGTTGGAGCTGGTGCCTCCGCGGCTCTCCAAGGAGGAGCTGATCCAGAACATGGACCGTGTGGACCGAGAGATCACCATGGTGGAGCAGCAGATCTCTAAGCTGAAGAAGAAGCAGGTGTGAATGGGCAGGGGATGGGCAGTGTTGGCTGTGAGCCTCCATTCTAGCAGCAGTGACAGTGGTGTCCAGACATGCGCTAAGCAAGGCCCTTTCCAATTTCCCAGGTGCCCTGGTTTTTATGCCCTTTACGGTTATTGGACAGGAGCACCATTTAGAACTTCCTGCCACGATGGAAACACTGTATCTGCAGGATAGCCACGATCCACTGTTGAGCATTTGAAATGTGCCTACTGCGACTGAGGAACGGATTTTTAGATTTTGTTTAACATACACATTAAATGTGCCTTTCCATAGCCACATAGGCTGCCGCATTAGACAGCACGGGCATGCCAGACGAGAGCTCAGGATTTCCAGCCAGGTCGTCCAGGTTCAGATCCTGTTTTTCCCACCACCCGGCAGCATGGGTGAGCAGTCCCTTGTCAGTGCTTCCCTTTCCTTATCTGTGATGTGGGGAAATAGCCCCTAGCTGTGGAATCTGAATGGACTGGCTTCCTAACTGCTCCTCACCAGCGGTGTGGCCCTGGAACCTTCATCTCTGGAGCCTCGGTTTCCTTACCTGTAAAATGGCTAGCTTGTAGAAGAGGAAGCAAGACCTCGAGATTAAAAATAAATCTGCGTTGTCACTGTTGAAACCACACAAAACATGAGAAAAATCTGATGTAAATACTTATAACATTCCTTTTATAATTTTGTTTCAAGTATGAGTTAATATACAATTCCTTGATAATCTGCCTTTTCCCAGCTCTTCATGGTTCACTCCCTGGTATCATTCAGGTCTCTGCTCTGATGTCCCTGACTCCAAGGGGCCACCTTCGGCTTCGTACAGGAACGTGCACCCCAACCCTCCTTTATTCTGGGTTCAGCCATTTCTAGCTGCTTCTGGTTTTCGTAAATAAAGTTTTATTGGCACATTGACGACGACTTGTCTGTGTATCTCAATACACACATGTCTATATGACTGCTTTTGTGCCACGTTGGCAGAGTTAAGTCATCACAACAGAGACCTGTGTGGCCTGCAAAGTCAAAAATATTTGCTATTTAGGCCTTTAAAGAAAAGCTTTGGGCCAGGCATGGTGGCTCATGCCTGTAATCCCAGCACTTTGGGAGGCTGAGACTGGAGGATCACTCGAGACCAGCGTGGGCAACATAGTGAGACCCCGCCTCTACAAATAATTTAAAACATTAGCCAGGGGTGGTGGTGCATGCCTGTGGTCACAGCTACTCAGGAATCTGGGGCAGGAATGCCTGAGCCATGATCACGCCACTGCACTCCAGCCTGGGCGGCAGAGTGACACCCTATCTCACCTAAAAGAGAAATGTTGCCAATTGCTGATCTGTCCCATCACCCCAGTGGTGGCCTCTTTATTTGAATTAATATAGGCAACGCTTTGTTATACAGTGGTCCTCTCCTTCTCTTCCTGTTAACTGCTGTGTTCTGAGCAGCATGGGGTACATAGTAGGTGCTCATTAAAAATGGTTGATTGAGTCATCGTGACACTGTCTTGGACCCAGGGAGTGTGTAGACTAACAGGGAAGCAGGCTCATATCTAATGTGCTCCAGACAAGGAAGTGGGGGCTCCAAGGAAGATCAAGGGCTCATCCCAGCCACTGTAGGCAGGGCTCAAAGGCTGGTGAGAGAAGGAAGGGTTCCAGGAAGAGGCGCCATGGGAGCTGGGTTTTGAAGCGGTGCCGTGGGAGCTGGGTTTTTAAGGGGGAGATCATTGATTTCAAGGGGCCATCAGGGCTGTCACGTGGTTGGGGGAACCAGGATTTGGGGATAGACCAGCTGTAGGGCCTAGTCCTCGAGACTGCCAGCTGTCCCAGGCTTCAGCAGGCCGTGGGTAGGTCTCATGATGGTGGCACAGGCATCCTGAGAGGGCCAGACCCCAGTGGGGGTGGGCAGACATTGCCAGGGCCAGCCTGGTACTGCACCTTTAGGTCTCCAGTCCTGGCCCTGGGGTGGGTCTGAAGCTGCGGGACACCGGAGCACACTCGTGACTACAGCTGGAAGCCAGGTGGCTCCAGGCGGCCCTCAGTGGTTAGGTTTTGGGTTTTTGTTTGTTTCCCCCCTAAATTCTACTTTGGCATTTTTCAAAAGTGAAATTCTCAAACATGATTATTTTAAAGGGCACGGTTCAGCAGCGTTTAGCATATTCGGTATCGTGCAGCCATCGCCTCTGTCTGGTTCTAAGCCATTGCAACAGCCCCCAGGGAAGCCTCCTAGGAACTGAAGCAGCCACTCCCCTATTCCCTGTCCCCACGGATTCACCTGCTCTAGACGTGTCCTATACGTCGGGTCGCACAGTGTACGTCCTGCTGCTTCTGGGTTCTTCCATCGCATCCTGGTTTTGGGGTTTATCATGTCTCTCGTCTCAGTCCTTCATTCCTTTTCATGGCTGAATCATATTTCATTGTGTGGGGATGCCACCTTTGTTTATTTCACTATCGGTGGCCATTTGGGCTGTGGCAGTTGTGAATCACGCTGCTGGTGAACATCCGTGTTCTCATTTTTGTGGGGCACCTGTTTTCAGTTCTCGTGGGTATATACCTAGGCGCAGAATTATTGTGCAGTGACTCTAGGTTTAATGTGCTGATGACTTTCCAAGCTGTTTTCCACGTCAGCTGCCCCATTTAACATTCCGGCCAGCAGTGTATGAAGGTTCCAGGTTTTCCACATCCTCACCAGCCCCCCTCTTTTGTTTTTTTGAGACCGAGTAACTTTGTTGCCCAGGCCGGAGTGTGATGGTGCCATCTTTGCTCACTGCAGCTTCTATTTCCTGGGCTCAAACGATCCACCTACCTCGGCCTCCTGAGTAGCTGGGAGTACAGGTGTGCACCACCACACCCAGCGAATTTTTGCACTTTTTGTAGAGATGGGGTTTCACCCTGTTGCCCAAGCTGGTCTCCAACTGCTGCTCTCTAGCGACCTGCCCGCCTTGGCCTCGCAAAGTGTTGGGTTTCAGGTGCAAGCCACCCTGGCCAGCCACACCAACCGTTTTATCTTCCTCGGAAAAACGTTTTTGATGTGCAGTGATGCCCCTTGTGGCTCTGACTCCATGAGACAGCCCTTTTTAGCACATAGCGGCTGTGCAGGAGGGCGTTTCCTGCATTGCCTCCTTGATCCTCCAAACAACCTTACGAGGTGGGCGTGTCCTCGTGGGTTTCGCTGAGCAAATGCTTGCGTGGAGGGGGGGCGGGTGAAGTGCCCTGCCCGAGACTGTGGAACTGATGAGCGTGGGGCTCAGGCTTGAATCCCGGCCCAGCAGAGCTCAGTCGCCTTCTTAGCTGGGTCTCTGTAGGTGTCCCAGGTAGTGTTTTTCTCTAGTGCCTGCGGGAGGGCCACCTTCCCCCGCTGGAGGGAGTCTCCCTTCCACCCACCTTTTCAAGGCTGTGGACTTCTTCCTCTTGCCTTCATTTGTTTGGTGCTTTGCGGGAGTATTTCGATGCCCTTCCTGAAGCAACCACTAGGGGTCGCTATGGGACTGAGGCAGTTCTGCTCAGGCCCAGAGTCTGCAGAAGCCAGGACCCTGGGTTTTCTGGCTCTTTATGGTTCACTTCTTGGCCGCCTTTTTGGGTTCATACTGATATGCCCTGTGGTCATGTGCGGGCTGTGTGAGCATCATAAGTGGAGCAGACCATGTTCTGATCTCACTTGCAATGCCCTGTCACATTGCAGAACTGGGCATTGGCCTCCCATCTGACCTTGGGCCAGTGCCCTAAACCCTGTGGTCTTCAGCCACCCTCTTGCTATGAAGCAGATGGCAGCATAATGGAATGCCATTTCCAAGGGTGTTAGGAGGGGGTCCAGTATATGAACATATGAGGAGGGGATGATGGGGGTGATCAGGATGAGGATGATGGGGTGATGAGGATGATGGGGGATGGGGATGATGGAGTGAGGATGATGGGTGTATGGATGATGGGGGATGGGGTGATGGGATGAGGATGATGGGGGATGGGGATGATGATGATAAGGGTGATGATGATGGGTCATGGGAATGATGGGATGGAGATGATTATTGGGGTGATGGGGATGAGGATTATGGGGGATGAGGATGATGGGGATGGGGATGGGGAGATGGTGATGATGGGGGATGGGGAGATGGTGATGATGGGGATGATGGGGGATGGGGATGATGGGGGATGGGGGATGAAGATGATGGGGAGATGAGGATTATGGGGGGGTGGGGATGATGGGGGATGAGGATTATGGGGGTGAGGATGATGGGGAATGGGATGATGGGGGGATGAGGATGATGGGGATGATGGGATGAGGATTATGGGGGGTGAGGATGATTGGGAATGGGGATGATAGGGGGATGAGGATTATGCGGGTGAGGATGATGGGGAATGGGATGATGGGATGAGGATGATGGGGGATGAGGATGATGGGGATGATGGGATGAGGATTATGGGGGATGAGGATGATGGGGTTGAGGATGATGGGGGGGATGAGGATTATGGGGGATGGGGATGATGGGGGATGGGGATGAGGATGATGGGGGATGTGATGATGGGGATGGGGATGATGGGGGATGAGGATTATGGGGGATGAGGATGATGGGATGAGGATGATGGGGGATGGGATGATGGGGATGGGGATGATGGGGATGGGATGATGGGGGATGGGGTTGAGGATGATGGGGGATGGGAATGATGGGGGATGTGGATGATGGGGAGATGGTGATGATGGGGGATGGGATGAGGATGATGGGGGATGAAGATGATGGGGATGGAGATGATGGGGAGATGGTGATGATGAGGGATGGGGATGATCGGGGGATGAGGATTATGGGGGGTGAGGATGATGGGGGGATGAGGAGATGGGGTGATGATGATTATGGGGGGATGGGGATGGTGGGGGATGAGGTTGATGGGGGACGAGGATGATGGGGGGATGGGGATGAAGCTTGGATGAGGGGCTCTGAGTGTGGAGTGCTGTCTGTGTGCCCCATGCCAAGTGCTTTGCAGGCATCATCAGCTCATTTCACCTGCTCTCTAGGATAGTAAGTCATTTGTTCACATTTTCCAGATGAGGACAGTAAGGCTCAGAGTAGTCCAGCAGCTTCTCAAGGCCACGCAGCCAGTAGGAGTGGGAGTCAGGTTTCAGTCTGCCCAGTGCAGCTGCGGACTCTGCACAGTGTCCTGGCACTGATGCTGCCCATGGGAACCTCAGTGCGTGGTAATGCCGGTTCATAGAAGGCCCGACTGTGCCTGCCTGTGTAACTAACTCATTCAGTCAGCACCACAGTCGGAATGAGGACACGGCAATCAGCCTGTTTACAGATGGGGAAACTGAGGCCTAGCAGAGTGAGGCTGCTCGCCTGTGCTTCCCTAGCTGGCAAGTCACGGAGGCAGGACTTAAACCTGGCTTCAGAGCTTGGAGGCTGCAGCCAGCCCGGGAGCTGGGGCCTCTTTGGGGTGCGGAGTCCCTAGGGTGACTCACAGGAAATGGGTAGCAGCCTGACTTCCTGTGCGAGGCCGAGGCCCGGGCTGCAAGGGGGCCTCCCCGTGCCCTGGGGGCTGCAGCCCTCCTTCTGCCCGCTGGGGTGCTCACCCGGCACACTCTGCCTGTCCCCACAGCAACAGCTGGAGGAGGAGGCCGCCAAGCCGCCCGAGCCCGAGAAGCCGGTGTCACCGCCGCCCATTGAGTCAAAGCACCGCAGCCTGGTGCAGATCATCTACGACGAGAACCGGGTATGTGCCCCCACCCCTGCCTGCTGCCCCCAGTGCTGGCCACAAGGCATTTCCCAGGGGGCACCTTGAACCGGGCCTCAGTGTTCCCATCTGCAAGATGGAGAGGGTACCTCACCACCCTCTCCCCCAGAGACGCAGGGTTTATGAGTGGGTGGGGGAAGGTGGCCGGTGGAAAGCCAGCCTGGTATGGTCTCTGAACTATTGTGCTCAGACACACAGATGGGACCGTGGCTGGCCAGCAGGATGCAACACAACAAGAGGCACTGGGCTCCAGGAGAGCACTAGGGGCCAGCTGATGGCCAAAGGGGAGGGGCCGACACTTGAGGCACGTGTGCAGGAAATCCCTTTGAGGTAAAAGATGATGACGTTGTGACAGCAGCAGCGAGCATTCATGGAGCAGCCCCTCCCGTAAGTCCTGGACAGCAGGTGCAGGCGTTGTTTCCATTTTCTGAAGGGCCAGAGGGTTAAGTGCCTTGTCTAGAGTCATACGGCTAGGAAGCATTGGACCTGGCTTTGAACCTGTGGGCTGTCAGACCACAGGGCCTGAGTTCTCAGCACTGGCTTCCACTGACACTGCGCCCTGGAAGGGGCTTTGAGATGACAGAATCCCGGGGTTGGGAGCAGGCTGTGGGGGCTATTTAGATCTCACTGGGGCAGCAGCCGGGTATCGACAGGAGGTCTGGTCTTGGTGGAGGGGCTTAAGGTGTCCAGTGTCTCCAGGGGCTAGACCCTGAGGGTCTGTGCACCTCCAAGGTGGAACCTTGTATCTGGTGAGGTGGTGAGCTCCCCATCTTCCCACTCAAGCCAGTACCAGCTGGGCTTTGGTGATTTACAGTTGACTTTTTCCAGATGCACTTGGGATCTGTGGGTATTGATCCCCCCTCCCTTATTTTCTGGATGAGGAAACTGAGGCCCAGAGAGGGACTGGTCCTTGTGAAGTGTGGCAGGTGAGGAACCTCCTCTCCCTGTCTTGGCATCTCTGGTTTCCCTCCTGCCAGAGGCCCCAGCCACCCTTCCCAGCTGCCTCTTCTGTAATATCTTCCTCGGCCGATCAGTGCTCAGAGTTGAGGTGGAGGTGGGGAGGCCTCTGGAGTCCTGTTGTAGGTGCCTGTAGTGGCAGCCTGAGGCAGCACACGACTGGATCAGCCAGTTTGGCTATGCCTCCATCTCTAGAAACAGCAATGTCATGCAGAATGAGACGAGCCTGTCTGGGGCCTGGGAACGAGCTTGGGTCACTCTACCACACCCCGGCCCCTCACCCCAAGGACCCCTAGTAACAGTCATAGGAGACCCAAGGGGCCACACATGCTTCAGCCAGGCATCCTGGGTTCAAATCTCATGTCTCCTACTTCCTGGCTCTGTGACCGGGAGCGTTTTACTTAAACCTTCCTGTGCCTCATGCTCCACAGCTTTAAAATGATGACAATGATGGCACTGGCTAGTACCGTTGGCATGGGGATTACAGGGGCTGATGTCCTAGTGCCCTTAGGACAGACAGTGCCTGGCATGAAGAAAGTGCCAGCTGGTGCTATGAATTGTCACTATCATAGCTGCCATTTCTTCTTGTGATCGTTTAACTCGTATATTTCATAGAATACGATTTGCATTTAATAGAACTGTTATTCTCTCCACTTTGCTTACCAAGAAACCAAAGCTCAGAGAGGGAAGGTGACCTCCCTGAGATTGCAGAGCAAGTGAGCTTTGAGCCTGGGACTCAGAGCCAAGATTGAGGTGGCTCCAGGAGCCCAAATTAGAGGGGACATGGGCAGGGCTCCTGAGTGTCATCTCTGCCATCCCTCTCTGATCCTTGGTGGAGAGCAGGCGCGGTTCTCACCAGCAGCTGCGGAGGCCGAGTCAGTGGCCCAGCACATTGCTGCAGCGCCTTGGCCCTCTGCCTGCAGCTTCTCTTCCTGCAAGGCCTATACTGTCATTTCCAACTTTGCTCGAATGTCCCCTTCTCAGCAAGACCCGTTTCAACCCTCTACTCTTCCTTCCCGTTTTCCTCCTTCGTGGCTTCTGATTCTCCTTAGCCCGTGTCCCCATGGGACGTGATTCATACTTTACTTATTCTGTTTATTATGAATGGAAGTCCTGTGAGGGCAGGGATTTTATTCCCGCCGACTTTTACTTTCATTTGAATTTCCAGCATCTAAAACAACACTCAGCACACAGCAGATGCACATGAAATAATTGTTGTGGACATGTCCAGGTGGCAGGAGGGGAGGGGAGATGGAGGCGAGTGGCCAGCTCTTGCCCGTGGAAGAGGCCTCTGGTTTGAGGGTGTGGGGGCTGGTGAGGACCCTCCGCCTGGGCTGAGCTTCTGAGCCTCTAAAGCCTGCAGCCTGTTGTGCAGGAGGCCCCCAGCCGCCTTTGGCAGGAGGAGCCAGGACTTACCGCCCCTTGGGGGATCGGTAGGATTAAATTTTAATCCGCCTTCCTTCCCTGCTGGTTCCTGGAGAGATGGAGGACAAGGGTCTGTCTCTAAACGCCGAGCCAGCCGGAAAACGCAGCTTTCCCGCTGGGCAGGGCCTGCCTGGCAGTTCTGAGTGCCGGAGTCTGGCTCATTATTCATTCGGAGCACATTGGTGAGGCACCTGCTGAGCAAGGCTTTTCCTGCCTCCCGGGAGCTGCCTGCGTGGGCGGGGGCCAGGCAGGTGTGCACAGATGGTGGGGCAGCCGGCGGGGTCTCTGTAGCCTGAGAGCAGGAGCAGGCAGGGTGGCCCCGGACTGGGAGGGCAGAGTGTGACCTAGAGCGGGCACTGGGAAAGGCTTCTTGGAGGCTTCTTGAATGCCCTCCTCGGGCTGGAAGGAGGGCATTCGGGTGAGGGGCATGGCAAGTCCCAGAGAGGGGACTGGCATCTCCTTTGACCTTCAAAGGTGGTGGGCATGAGGGTAGGAGCCTTTTGGTTCTGGGACAAGGAGCACACTTGGAATCTGGATAAAGCACACAGGCAGGCAGCACTAGCCAGGTGTGGATACACAGGAACATTTGTGCAGCACAGGCTGCCGATACTGTTGTAGGAACTGAGGAGACTGGGGAGCAATCAGGGTAGGCTTCATAGAGGAGACGGGCCTTTAGCTAGGTCCACTGGGGAAATGTAGAAGGCTGCTTCCAGTGGAGATGCCGATGGCTCATTCCCACGGGGAAGAAGAGGCAGGATTGACGGAAGCAGCGACCTCCAGTTGCTGAGTAATGCAGAGGTCAGCGTAAGACTCCAGTCCTTGTCTTTGAGTTTAAGCGTCTTAACTGGAACGTGTTTATACAGTGTGATTGGGACTCAGTGTGTGCCCAGTGTGGTAGCAACAGAGCAGGGCAGGGATGAGTGATGCCATCAGCAGTTGCCGTGGACGTGAAGCAGAGCCTGCTGGGGGTTTTGGCACTCTGGATGCTCGTTTGCAGGGCCCAGCGTCAGATCCCCTGATGCAAGATTTTCAGAGCAGTGGTTCAGACCCCGTCCTGTGGCCCCGGCATCCTGGGCCAGGCCCCCACCTCTGGCCTCTGTGCCCAGCTGCCTGGCCATCCTAACTGCCCCCAGGGCCTAGGGGTTCTTTCACATTGTCTGTTTTAGCCCTATGAGGCTGCTGCACACATTCCCCCCCCGCCCCGCCCCGATCTGCCGCTTTTCCTGCTCATCACACACCCCGGGAGAGCTCTGCACGGGGCTCACGGGCATGGGGCTCCATTTGTAGATGAGGAAGCTGAAGCTCAGGGTCGGCTGCTGCCCTGAGGCACTGCTACAGCCAGCGGAGGAGGGGCTTGGGGCTTCTTGGGTGGGTAGGTGCTGTCCCCAGTCTGTAGATGAGGAGGGTAGTATGGCCGAGAAGGGGCTAGAATGGGGCTTCCAGGCAGGTGAGCGGCCAGGGAGTGGTCAGTGTCGGGTCTGTTTCTCTGCTGTAGAGGAGAGCTGCATGTGGACACGTGTGGTTTGTGTGCCTGTGGGTGCACGTGTGCGTATGTGGGTGGATGCATGTGTGGTACGCCTGTTGGATACACGTGCGTATGTGGGTGGATGCATGTGTGGTACGCCTGTTGGATACACGTGTGCGTATGTGGGTGGATGCATGTGTGGTACGCCTGTTGGATACACGTGTGTATATGTGGGTGGATGCATGTGTGGTACGCCTGTTGGATACACGTGTGCGTATGTGGGTGGATGCATGTGTGGTACGCCTGTTGGATACACGTGCGTATGTGTGGGTGGATGCATGTGTGGTACGCCTGTTGGATACACGTATGTGTGGGTGGATGCATGTGTGGTACGCCTGTTGGATACACGTGTGCGTGTGTGGGTGGATGCATGTGTGGTACGCCTGTTGGATACACGTGTGCGTGTGTGGGTGGATGCATGTGTGGTACGCCTGTTGGATACACGTGTGCGTATGTGGGTGGATGCATGTGTGGTACGCCTGTTGGATACACGTGTGTATGTGTGTGTGGTGTGTGTGTGTTAGGTGTTGGATACACGTGTGTTGTGTGAGCATACACGTGTGCCTTTGGCTGTGTGCACTTGTAGATGAATACTGAGAGTTGGCTTGTGTGGGACATGCGTGTGGTGATGTGCGCATCGATACAGCACACCTTTGTATGTGTATGCATGTACGTGTGTGTGTGTGGACCTCTGGATGGCTGTGTGCATATGTGTGTGTGTGTGAGTCAGCATGTGGGGCCCGTGGTTATCTGCGCAGTTACACATCCATGCATACACATGTGGGTGTGTGTGTGCACGCGTGCAGGTGTACCTGTGGGTGCTGTGTGCATGTGTGAACACATTCCAAAGTGGATTTGCATGTGTGGGGCATGTGTGTAGGTATTGGTTTGTCTGTGTCCCTGTGTGCATACACACGTTCACGTGGGTACAGTTAGGCTGTGTGCATGTATGTACAAATGGATGTGCCTGAGATGGTGTGTGTGGGGTGGGTGTGTCGCCTCGTGTCCACTTGGTGTGCGTATGTGAGTGTGTGTGCGTGCCTTGGCGTGTGTGGACATGTGTGTTTGTCTTTGTGCATTCCTAGATCTTGGCATGTGCACTTGGTCACGTGGGTCTGGTGCTCCCATGCACCTATCTGCACAGGTGACTGAGGACTTGTGTGTCCCAGCACAGCTCCTGGGCTCTTTGGCAACAGGGAGGCCTGGCCACACAGACCCTGGGTCCCTGCAGGAGGGCCATTGCTCGAGTGAGAACCTGCCCTGACCCCTGGTTGCCTGGCGAGAGCCCCTCCAGGGGGTGGATGCAACGGTGAGCCGGGCCCCTCTTTGGCTTGGTCCCTGGTCCTCCTCTCCGAGCCAGGTGAGCTTGGGCAGCAGCTGCTCTCAGATTTGGCACCTCCCCTCTGGCGTCAGCTCCCATCCCCTGCTGTCAGAGCGGAGACCTTGTCCTGAAGGCCAGGCCCATGGGAGGTCGTGGGGGCCATCGGGTTTCAGCGGGATTGAGAAAGGCCTTTTCCCTTCTCCCCCAGGGTGGGGCTGAGTGCCCTGAATTTCAGCCTCCCAGCCGGTAGGCTTCAGCCCAGCCCCAGGCCCGCCTCTACGCCGGAGCAGCCCCTGGGTTTTGCCACCGTCGGGTGGAGTTGGTTCAGCTCTAACTAGTGTGTCCTGGCGTTCCCTGCAAGCTGGGTCTTGGGCCCGCACAGGGAAGATGCAGGCAGGAGCTCCTGTTGGAGCACTCGCTGTGTGCCAGGGCCAGGGGCAGCCAGGGAGCCAGTGTCAGAGGTGGCCCCGGGGGGCGGAGGAGATGTGCAAATACCTGCCATGGAAGTGTTGGGGTGGGAAGTTCTAGGTGGGAGAGGGTCAGGTGGGAAGGGTCTGGGATTTTGCCTAGAACTGTGTGGGTTGCTGATCTCCTATCCAGGCATCCTCTCTGAGCCTCTGTTTCCGCATCTGTAAAATGGGGCAGCCCTTGCACCCCAGAAACGGGTTACTGGGATACTTGGCAATCCTGATTGTGGCTGGGAGACTTAGGGAGACTGCTCTCTTCTCCACCTCTGTGCCCCCCACCCACTGTGTCCTTGGAAAGGCCAGGCATGCCGGGGAATGTGACTGCTTCCCACTCGGCCCTGGAGAAAGTGCCTGCTACCCTCTGCCCTGTGCCGGGCACTGCTGGACGACAGCAGCTCAGTGGCTGGCGCTGGCCTCCTCTAATCCTGGTCGGAGGTGGGAGGCACTGGGCCAGCTGCAGCCATGTCGAGAGGGCAGGGTTCTGGGCTGGGACCGGAGAGCCTGGGGCACAAGAATGCTTTGCCCTAGAGACAGCCTGAGCGAGGGAGCCAGCCCAGCCCCATTTCTGGGAGTTAGACCATTCCTGAGCGTCCACTCTGAGCCAGACGCTGTTCCAGGCACTGTGGGTACAGCAGAGAACAGAGCAGGTGCCTTGCTCCTCATGTCCTCACTGGGGGAGACAGCCAGTAACATCACCAGTGGGATGCACACCCTTGCCTGTGACGGAGTGTGCTGTGAAGACAGCCCGGCAGGGAAAAGAGTGGTCAAGAGAGGTGGTCCGGCCTCCTGTGGGGGATCAGGGAAGGCCTCTCTGGGGAGAGGGGGCTGAGTCAAGACATGAGCAAGAGGCAGGCAAGAGCATGTGAACATGTGGGGAACAGCATTCCAGGCAGGGAACAGTAGGTGCAAAGGCTCAGAGGCAGTAGTGGCTTTCAGTGTGCAGGGGACAGTGAGGGGCCAGCAGAGGTAGAGGGCCCGTGAGGGCTGGGACCCTGTTGACCCTGGATTTGGTGCTCAGGGTGGCAGGAAGTCAGCAGCCGAGGAGGCCAGGTGGGAAGGGTCTGGGATTTTGCCTAGAACTGTGTGGGTTGCTGACCTCCTATCCAGGCATCCTCTCTGAGCCTCTGTTTCCGCATCTGTAAAATGGGGCAGCCCTTGCACCCCAGAAACGGGTTACTGGGATACTTGGCAATCCTGGTTGTGGCTCGGAGAGTCATATTTGGCATGGGACTGAATCTGGCCCACATCCACGTTCTCAGCCATGCCGTGTTCTGGCAGGTGTCTCCTCTGCATTGAAAGAGGGAAGAGGTGACATTTTGTTCCCTGCAGAACATCCTTGCCAAAGTCCTGGGAGTTTGACACCCCGGGTGAGTGTGGCCAGACAGGAGACGCAGATTGCTGCGAGTTAGAGTGCAGCCAGCTCCCCGATGTTGAGCAGATGTGTTGAGAACGGCCAGCCCATCTTGGGACAGGGCCCCACAGGCCCACACCCCCAGAAGGCTGACAGGCAGGACCACAGAAGACAGAGGAGCCGGAACAAATCCAACACTGAGAGCAGGGGGTGTGGGGGAGGAGGTGGGGCTCCCTGCAGCTTCAGCAGGTGAAGACGGGGGTCCTCCCTGCTCTCCAGGTGTGTGGCTGTGGTGTTTCTAGTGGCTTGGCCCTTTCTGTTTGGTTTCATTCCTTTATTTAGATGGACAGTTGCTGCTAATCACCGCAGATGATACACACGAACTCCTATTTGCCCCTCAAAACCCAGCCTATATATCCCTCCTGTTACCTTTCTGGGGGAGTGACCTGTGCCCCGCTTTCACATGTACTTTTCTCTGCCAGCGCATAGTAATCTGCTGTTACTGCTCTTAACCAATGGCCAATTGTTTGGATTTATTGCAGGCAGGAGCCAGGTATCATTTTTTCCATATTTCTGCCTGATCCCAGTGTTTGGGAGCTGCCCTGCCCTCATGCCACCCCATACCCAGTCCTTCACTGGGCCTGGCTCAGGGGTTCTCCCATCTTGAGGACCCCAGGGCAGACTCTTTCTTGCTTTGAGGCTGTGGCTGGGGCAGTGACTATCGGGCTGATGTCTGCCCCTATGTACCGGAAATACTAGTCCCAAGTCTACGGGTGGCCCTGCATGGGACCTGGGCCTTGGCTTCCTCTGTCCTGGAGGTCATACGAAGGGCTTCTTCCCTGTCTTGTGTTTCTGTGCCTCAGTTTCACCATCTGTGAAATGGGGATACTCCTGTATGTGCCTCCCGTGGTGCTTACATGGGATCGAAATGTTAGGAACACACGTGTGCCCGATGCTTGGCTCATGGCGGGTGCTCCGGGAAGTGATCAGTGCTGTAATTGTTCTCCCCTGCTGTTCCGGCTGCACCTGGAGCTGCAGGCGTCTCGGTTTCAGCTCAGCGTGAAGGTGGCCGGGAGCATGGCTCTGCTCTCGGTGGGCTGGGCCCTGGGCTCTAGGCGGAGGCACTCCTAGGTGCCAGCTTGAGCCCACCTACATACCCGCTGTCTTTCTCCAGGGGCCGGGAGGGGGAGCGAGCTTGTTCACCATTCCCTCTTCTCTCTGCTGTAGCCCAGGGGGGCTGGGCCCCTCCGCCCTGCAAGGAGATCTTGGCAAAGGCTGCGTCGAATTTTTGTTGGCATCCGTATTTCCCAGGGCTGGGGATCACCTCCTTTTGGCCAATCTGGGCTTGGAGTCACTGGGGACGGTTTCAGTATGGTGATGGCGACTTCTGTGGCCTGTCCGTCCAGTCCTTGCCAAATACTGAGTGGCTGGCCTGGTGCGGCTGAATCACAGCAGGGGCTTGCCACGCGCTGGCCTGGGGACACCCATTTGCCAATGCATACACACTTTAGCCTGTTGCAGGGGGCACCCAAACCCACCTGAGTTCTGCCGCTGCCCTCCGCTAAAGCCCTGTGCAGCCACCTTCAGGAGCCCCTCTGTCCCCCGCCTCCCTGCACCTGGGCTGGCCTCCTCTGAACGGGCCCTGGTGGTCCCAGGCTGGGGGCGGGGGGCCAGGCCAGGCACAACGTCTGCCTTCACACTGAGGCCCGGGTGGGGGCCGGAGGTCCAGCCTATTGCCGGAGCGGCCACCGAGCCCGTCACCACATGTTCCTGTTTTCCTAATAAGTCCCCGGTTGTGAGTGGGGAGGAGGCGGGGAGGCCCCGGGGCAGCCCAGAAATAATCACATGATTGTGAAACACAAGAATCCTAGAAAGGGTATCTCTGAGCGCCTCTATCACCCTCCCTCCTCCACCTCCTCCTTCTTCCCTAGCTGGCTGCACTAGCTCTGAGACAGCCCAACCAGCTTCCAGGGCGAGGGAAGGCATCTCAGGGCTGGCAGTGTCGGCTAGGCTGGCGGGGAGCGGTGCCCACGTCACTGGGCCCTGGGGGAACGGGGCCCGCCGGGAGCAGGCTTCAGGGGACCCGGCGCGTTTGCTAAAATCGAAACTTGGCAGACCTGCCAGGGCTGCTGCGGGGGTATTGAGGCCCCTCTGTGTTTTTTCAAGCTTGGGGAGGTTCTGGAGGGGGCCCCGGGCCTCCCTCCCCCATGCTGAGGAGCAGCATGCTGGGCTGGGCTAGGCAGGTGCCCGCTGCTCCGGGGAGCCTCTATTTATAATCTGTGTTTTTTTGTTTTTTAAAAAAATTCCTCCTCTTTGCCGTCACCCTGCAGAAGAAGGCTGAAGCTGCACATCGGATTCTGGAAGGCCTGGGGCCCCAGGTGGAGCTGGTGAGCTGGGGTACAGGGTTGGGGGTTCCGGGGAGGGTGGGGGTGGTGGGAGAGGTGGGCAGGGAGGCGGGAGGGGACGGGGAGGAGGAAGTCATCTATTGCCAGGCGCTGCCCAGGCGGCGTCTGCTAAGGAGGCAGGAAACCCACCTTCCTGATGCGAGGACTGCAGATAGCGGGTGGGGCGGGCCGGGCTGGGCCGGTGGGGGTGGGAGTCTGGCAGGGAGCTCCTGGGGGGCCACTTGCTCACTCCTGTGGGCTGTGAGAAATCACACACCTGGAGGCTATTTGTTCCAGCCGAGCACAGAGTCGGTTCTCTGGGTCACATGATCTCGGTCCACTCCTGGGTACGCCGCGGTGTGGGTGACCCTGAGTGCGTCTCTTACCCTCTGTGTGCCTCAGCTTCCTCATCTGTAAAATGGGAATCCTAATAGCACCCGCTCCACTGAGTTCCAGTGAGGGTGAGCTGTATGGATGTTTATCCAGCATCAGGTGGGGCGCCTGCCTGTGGGCAGTTAAGTGCTGGTCGTTAGCTATGATGACGGTGGTGGTGATGATGATGATGATGACTGTCACTAGTGTCCTTTTGCTGTGGGAAGATGCCATGTCAGCAGCAGAGTGGGAAAGCAGGGCCCAGGCCTCCTGGAGTCCCTGGGCTGAGGATGGGTGGATACAGAAGCCCTAAGCCCCAGAGAAGTGGCCAGAGCCCCTGCCTACCACACAGCCATCTGTGCCCACTGAGCTGGCCAGCATGGCATACAGTTACCCACATGTGCCAGATGAGGGAGAGTCTCTGTGCGTGGTGGGCTAGGGTGTGCGTGTGAGTCCACCTGGGTTGCAAATAAAGTCTTACGCCTTCGGCCATGTGCAGTGGCTCACATCTGTAATCCTAGTACTGTGGGAGGCCAAGGCCAGAGGATCGCATGAGGCCAGGAATTTGAGATCAGCCTAGGCAAAATAGCAAGACCTCATGTCTGCAAAAAAAAAAATTTACCAGGCGTGGTGGTGCACACCTGTCGTCCCAGCTACTTGGGAGGCTGAGGCAGGAGGATCGATTGAGCCCAGGAGTTGAGGGCTTCAGTGAGCTGTGATCACATCACCGCACCCCAGCCTGGGGAGTAGAGTGAGACCCTGCCTCATAGAGAAACGAAGCAGAAGTCTGATACCTTCAGAGCCTCCGTCTAAACAGCTCCACTGCGTGTTTGCCGAGTGGCCCTAATGAAAGGGGCTGACCTTCTAGGACCATGGTGCTCTCATCTGTGACAGGCAGAGACTCCAGGGCCTCCTTCCAGGGTCTTCCCAGGGTCAAGGGCAGTGGTGCCCATTCAGGGCTTGCCTGGTGCAGCTCCTGCCCCTGTGAAGTGCTCAGTAGTTGTGAACAATCTGGAGATGAGCTGCTTCCCATGGATTTTCTGCAGGCTGCTCAGGTTGACACAAGGAGAGCCCCCCCCAAAGCCTTGGGGGTCCCATTGAGGCCACTCAGGAACCCCAAGCCCCAGGCTCCCAGGCCTGCTCAGAAGGCAGAAGCAGGCAGGAGATGGCAGGGGCTCCTCCAGCTCAGAAGCAGGGCGCAGCTGCCCACCTGGCTGCCACTTGCTGGGCTCAGAAGCCTCACCTGGCTCTCCCACCCCTTCAGGGCTCTGCCCCCTCCAGGTACTTCCTCAGACCTGGGGAACCCGGGGGGCCTGGGGGCCTGGGGGCCTGGGTTGTGCTTCTCTTAGTGGAAGTGATTTTTGGGGAAGTTTTCAGCAGCAGCAGACGCTGCTTCCTTTTTTTTTTTTTTAATTGTTGTTTTGTAAACAGCTTTATTGACGTACAATTCGCTTGCATGCCATTCACCCACTTTAAGTGTACAATTCAGGGGGTTTTAGTGTATTCACAGATGTGTGCCACTGTCGCCATGGTCCATTTTAGAACATTTCATCATCTTGAGAAGAGCCCTTCTGTCTCTATGGATGTGCCTATTCTGGACGTTTCCTATAAATGGAATCTTGCAGTACACGCTCCTTTGTGTCTGGCTTATCTCACTCCGCATCATGTTTTCGAGGTTCATCCGTGTGGAGCGTGGGTCGTGCCTTCGTTCCTTTTCGTGGCTGAATCCTGTCTCACTGCAGGGGCAGGCCACGTGCTGTTTACCCAGGCCCCAGCGGGTGGGCTTCAGCTTGTTTGCGTATCTGGGGTACGGGGAGTAAAGCCGTTCGTGTGCTGTTTCCCTGTGCGCGTGAGTCTGACTGTCTCCCGGGTGCGCCCCGGCGTGGAGTTGCTGGATCCTCTCTTAACCCTCTGTTTAGCCCCTTGAGCAACTGCCCAACTGTTTTCCACTGTGGCCACACCATTTCACATCCCCACCAGGAAGCTGCCTCTTGCCTCGGTTTCCCCTTTTTTGCCACATGGTGATGGCAGGGTTGGATGCGGTTCCCAACCATTTCCAGACTTCCAGGCCCCCTCCACTTGCCTTTGCTGGGGGGAAGTGTCTGGAGGCCCCCATGTCTTAGGCCCGAGGGACATGGACAAGGAAGCCCCTGTCCGTGGGCAGACAGGGGCAGACGGGAGCTGGCGGCTGCTGCTGTCAGAAACTTTGGAACCCAGGGCCTCACTGTGAATCTTCTCAGGTTCTTTGGAGACAAGGGACGGGGCTGCCCCCTGCTTGGGGATCTCAGAGCAGAGGCTTCCAAGGGCAGATGGTGCAGGAGGCTAAAGGTCTAGTGTCCAGACTCTTGAAGGCCCCTGGCTTGGTGCCAGCCAGTGGTGACAGGGAGGGCGCCTCACAGAGCTGTTGCCGTCCTGTTTTCTGGGTGAGGCTCGGCGAGGGGAGTGCCTTGTGTGGGCCACACAGCAGGCAATGAGGTGGGAGGTGTGCTGAGCCCCTGGGGAGCGTCCGGCCAGTTCCGCACACATCTGTCAGGCCTGAGTGGCCACGGGCATCCTCTGAGCAGGGGTGGCTCCATGGTGCACCCTCTGCAGGGGCCTGTCTACCACCTGGGTGCCAGAGGACCCAGGAGCCACGGGTCCCGGAGTCCAGTGCCCAGGTCTCTTCCCTCTGCAGTTGCTGTTCCAGCGCCCCTCCCTTCGGCAGGGACTGATACCTGCGGCCTCCCTGGAAGAATTTGCGTTGGAAAGGATGAAAATGTCACCAGAGGCGCTAACCAGGGGTCTGGGGCACCGAGATGGTGGGGCACGGCCCCTGTAGCCCAGCTGTGGGGACCGGGCCAGGCTGGGAGCGATTTGGTGGTGGAGGGCGTGCCCAGTGGCGGAGGGCGTGCCCACCAGACCGACCTCTCTGCCGCTTTGAGTCATTGCTTCCTTCCTGTTCCAAGGCGTTATTTTAAGAAGCTGGTGTCACCAGCGGGTTGAGGGCTGGGGCTGACGCTTCATTTATTGCCAGCTCAGGCCGCTGGGACTGTGGCTCTTCCTGGTGGCCCGGCAGGCTGGCTTGGAGCCTGAGGTGGCCGCCTCCTCCCTGGCCCCTGCTGCCTTACTTAGTCACCACCATGCCTCATCTCTGCCTGTGCCCTGTGTCTGGCACCTGCTCCCCTTTGCCCTCTTTCTGCCCCCTGAGTGGTGTGCCTCCATTTTTAGAGGAGACAGAGGCTGAGCAAGAGAGAGACGGGTGCTGAGAGCTGAGAGCCAGGCCCTGGGGCCTCCTGGGTGCCGCCTCCACTGCCCCAGGCTCCACACTCCTCTGGGCCTCAGGAGGGAGGGAGTGTTCCTCACCTGGGTGTGTCCCCCAGGGATCATTTCTCCTGGGAGGATGAGGCCTGGGAGTGAGGGGCAGGGCCCGGCCGTGCCCCCAGCCTGTGTGGCCCCACGTGGGGACTCCAGCTGTCCTGGGCTGGGGAGCCGCCAGTGCTTTGTGCAGCCCCTTCTGCAGAGGGTGAGGGGGGAGTTGGGGGGGTCCCCTCGGGCCCTGTGTCCCCTCAGCAATGCACCTGCTAGGACAGGTCACTGTCTCTCCCTTCCCCCTCCCCCAGCTGGGCTTTCCAAGATGGCTGGCCTCAGCCTGTTGCCATGGCAATGCCCAGCATGGAGGGCAGCTCTGGGCCTGGAGTCTTCCCTGGGCTACGGGGGTACAGTCCTCAGGGAGTGGCTGGTACCCCATTTGCAAGCAGCAGCAGCCCACAGTACCCTCAGTTCTTCGGGGCCTTTGCTTTGTGGGCCTCTCACCCACAGCTGCCTTGAGAAGCAGGGACTATGTCCCTATCTACGGGGCAGGGGAGGAGGCCACCAAGTGGAAGTGGAAGTGGCCTCCCTCTCCTGTGGCTTCCGTGGATTGGAGGCTCAGCAGGCTCCTGCTGCCCCCAGAAGCTAGTCCTGAGTTCCTGCACCCGCCCAGTGCCAAAGAAGCACTGTCCTGTCTGCCCACCACTCCCTCCTGGGGGCTGTGTGCTGGGTGCTTTGGGCTGCCAGCTCCTCTCTGGCCCCTTTAGGCTTTTTGCTATCTTTAAAACCAAAAGAAGGCAAACTCCAAATTTCACCAAGTCTGAAATTTTCTGGGCTAGCCAAAATTCCCGTGAAGTAGGTCCTCTTTGCCCTATACCCATTTTTCAGATGAGGAAACTGAGGCTGGAATGTTGAGGGCGCCTGTCCAAGCTCACAGCTAGTGAAGGAGGAGCCAGTATTTAAATCAGGGCCTATCTGTTTCCAGAACCTGAACCTTTAAGTGATGCCTGCTTGCACCTGGCCTGTATTTGACTGGCATTTGATAAAGAAGATAACGTAGTTGCCCCAGGTTATCATGTGGGCATCTTCACAGGGCCCCTTGCCATTCCTGAGGCGAGGACCTGCAGCCCTCTGTGCCCCACCTTTGCTGGGAAGTCCTGCACTGAGTCTGACCGTGGGCCCTCTTGTTCCTCATCCACTTCTCCTCTTGTTCAAATCTCCAGGGTTGGGGTGGGGAAACTGCCCCCCGTTCAGGGCTGAGAACCTTGGGAGGGGAGCCTGACCTGGTATGGGGAGGAATAGCCCATGCCAGCTACAGGATGACATCTCTGTCCCCAGGAGAGTAGCTGAGCAGGAGCCTGGAATTGCCCCAGCCCAGTGGTGAATTCTCTAGGAGGGGATCTGGGGCCACAGGGAGGAAGGCGACACTGTCGCCAGCTGAGACTGTGAGGCTCTGCAGAGTTGCAGAGGCCCTTCCCTGGGGGGGTGGGGGGGAGTGGGGGTCTGGGCTTCATTGCTTGGGTGGCTCCCTCTGCTGGGGTCATCAGGAGGTGTGTGCAGCCCTCTCCCCAGGGAAGAGACTTGTGCGTCCCTTCCATCACCGAAGCCTCGCCCTGAGCCTGCAGGACTCCTTGCCCCCATCTTTCCCTCTCCAGCTGATCACTCACAGTCTGTACCTGGTGTTCCCACCATAGTACCCATGGCCACCCTGGGAGGCTCCTGCTGTGTGCGTAGGTGCGTGAGAGGGAGAGGGACGGGTAGAGAGGGAGGGAATGAGACACACAGACTCGGGCAGAGAGGGGAAGACTCCTTCCTCCAGTGCTGGAGCTGAGAGGCTGGCTCTCATTCAGGCTCATCTCTTACCAGCTGTGGGCAAATGTCGTCACCTCTTAAGGACTCAATTCTCCCATGTGTACGGCGGGGATGGTCGTGTCAGTTACGAGTCGTGGTTACATAGCTACTACCAGGGAACGAAGCAGCCCCACATTCAGGGGCCTGAAGCATGGCTGCTTACGGCTGCTCGCCAGTCTGGAGGCGGCTGCATACTTCTGCAGGATTTGGACCAGGCTGTGCCCTTGGTTGCTAACCATGGTGCTTCCATCCGGGGAGGGGACGCGTGGTAGCTGGCTGGGTCCTGCCCCGTCACAGCCGCCGCTGCGCTCTCTGTATCTCATCGTGTGCTCTTTGAAGCTCTGTCCTTGCTACCCATGGCCCCGTGCATCTCTCTCTCTCTCGCAGCTGGGTGGGATTTGTGGTGTCACTGAGCCCTGATCCCCCTAGCCACCTTCTTGTGGTGGGTGGCTCACTGGCTTCTCCTCGGCCGCTGTGAGCTATGCCATGGTAGCATCGCAGCGTCCATCTCCTGCACGAGCACAGCGCCCGGGTGCTCCCAGGCATCTGCACGGCGGTCGGAGGCGGAGGCCTCAGGAGGTGGATTCTGTCTCTCTGGGGGATGTGTACGAATACGCTGTGCTCCCCCCCAGCTGTGTGCCAGCCTTCTGTCACCCCAGACCTCACCAACACTTGGCATTATTCACCGTTTTTGTCTTCTTCTGGTTGGTGGGGGCAGAGTGGTGTCTTTCGGTGTCGGGACGTGTGTTTCCACGGTGAGCTGGGAAGCCAAGTGGCTCGCCATGTTCGGGTCGACCTCTGGGCTGTGTAGGCTCCTCCCGGTGTGCTCTGGGCAGTGCTTCCTTCCAGGCCAGCGCTGCCAATGCCCCACAGAGCAGCCATAACCACCTGGGTGGTGGTGGTCATGGCACCCACAGCTGTCTCTGAGGACCCAGTTTTAGCCTGTTCCTGGCTGGGGCCACTGCTGGGTCCCTGTGTTCCGTTTCATGCCTGGCTGCGACTGAGTGCTCGCCCAGAGGACGGCTTCTCGGAGCCGGGGCCAGGACTCCTGCTGAAGGGTCTGTGCGGGCGGTGGCCAGCGGGGTCTGACGCGATTCTCTCTCTTCCTCTGCAGCCGTTGTACAACCAGCCCTCTGACACCCGGCAGTATCATGAGAACATCAAAATGTGAGTGCTCTTGGGCAGCTGTGCAGACACGGGGGCAGGGTGGGTGGGTGGGCTCTGAGTGGCCTGCGTGGGACGTGGGTTCTCTGTTCCCATTAGGCACTCCTGGCCAGGACCAGGTGCTCGAGCAGGGGACAGGAGACAGTCCTAGGTGGGGCCTTGGATGGGGTCGGAGCAGGCCTGGGGTGGGGGTGGGGAGTAGAGAGAGTTTCCCCCTCTGAGGCTTCGGGAAGCAGGTCTGGGTTTGGGAGGGTGGGTGAGGGAGCTGCTGGTGCATGGGTGGGCCTGGAGAGGTGGGAGTCAGAGGCCCCAGGCTGCACATCTGCATCCTGTGCAAGCCGGAGGGAGCTGTTGCAGGCAGAGGGCAGCTGGCTCTGGCAGATGGGGAGTGGCCCGGGGCAAGTGGAAGCCTCATGTTTTGGGCTCTGGCATAAGCATGTTTGGGAGTCAGCTGGCATCTGCGCAGAGAGGTCCCTCTGGCACAGCCCAGCATGGGGTGGACCAGAGTGCTTATCCAGGCCCTGAGGCTTTGGAGGTCGCCAGTGTGATGTATCCTAACGATGGGGGCCTTTTCCCAGACCAATGCCAGGAGGGAAGAAAATGTCAATTAAGCGCCAGGTGCAGATGATTGGGGCAGTACTGGAGGCTGGTAGCATTGTGTCTGCAAGCGGGTACAAGGCATTGGAGGCGTGGCTGCCCGAAGAGGGCCAGCTTTTTCTTGGGATGCATTAATGGGAGCATAGACTGCTGGGCTGAGGAGGGGATGTTATCTCATGTTATTACCCAGGAACCCCAAATGTAAAAGGGGCTGCAGATCTTGCCCTTTGAGGAACGTGCGGCCGTGGGTGTGGTGGGCTGGTAGGTTGGAGGTGAGACTCTTCGGGATCGTGGCTGTTGAAGTTCCAGGTTCGTCTTGGTGAGAGTGTGGCTGCAGAGGGGGGTGTGTAGCTGATTCAGTGGGTAGTGCAGCCCGGTCCGATTGTCCGAGCTTTCCTAGGATGGATCTGCAGACTGTGTATAGCAGTGGTGAGCTCCCTGCCGCTGAAGGCATGGAAAGCTTTCACGTGTTCACGCGTCTGCGGGTGCTGAGCTAGAGGCCAGGGAGATCACTGCTGTTGCAGCTTTGAGAGTCGCTGACTAGTCCAAGCTCGGGTGCTCAGCTCGGCCACCCTCTCGCAGCTCCTAGTGATTGTGGCAGCAGCCTGGAAATCTCCTTGCTGGTCGAGGCCCTTGGCCCTCTCGGGTTTAGGAGCATCCAACAAAGACCCTTCACCAGTGTGGCTGGCACGGGCTCATCCTCAGCTGGTGTTCAGTGGGGGCGGCAGAGTGTCAGAGTGTCAGGAAGGGGCATGCATCCTGCTCCGGTGTCCCGAGCTCGTGTGGGATGCCCAAGTCAGACGCAGCCCAGGCTCCGCATCGGCCCGGTGGGCTCATTCATCTGGCACCACGTCCCTTTTGACTCGATATCGTTTGTCTTCCAGTCAGGCTACCCTGTCCCTGCTGCAGCTTTCTGGGACCTGCCTCGCTCTGGGGCCCCTGTCTGGAGTAGGGAGCCACAGGTGGAGGGTGGTGAAGGCAAGGGGGACATTCTTAGGACCTCATCACAGGTGGTTTAGGGGATGAGGGAGGGGTGTTCTCAACTGAGTCCAGGCTATTTGGGGCATGCATTCATTCATTCACTCATTCATTCATTCATTCATCTGTTCATTCATCACATCTTTCTTGAGAGCCTGCTGTGTGTCAGGTTCTGTTCTAGGCCTTGGCACTCAGCCTTCGATAAAACAGAGTTCTCACTTCTCATCGAGATTTGTCTAGCAGTGGAGACAGAATCAGAATGAGTTAAGTAAACAAAACAAGAGAATCTCAGTTAATCCAGCCCAGTGCCGTGGCTCATGCCTATAATCCCAGCACTTCGGGAGGCCAAGGTGGGAGGATTGCCTGGGGGCCAGAAGTTCGAGACCAGCCTGGCCAAAAAGCAAAACTTGAAAATAAATTAGCTGGGTGTGGTGGCACGTGCTTGTGGTCCCAGGTACTCAGGAGGCTGAGGTGGGAGAATTGCTTGAGCCCAGAAGTTCAAGGCTGCAATGAGCTGTGATTGCACCACTGCACTCCAGCCTGGGCGATAGAGCAAGACTCTGTTTCTAAATTAAAAAAAAGAAAGAAAAGAGAAAGAAAATACCAGCAAATCTAAAGTACTGTGTTCACATAACTATCTTAAGCTCTTTATGTCTTCGTATACCTACTTATGATTTTCCTTTTTGACATAATAATTTGTGAAAGCCATATTATTATGTGGACAATTTTACATAGGGTTTTTTCACTTAAAGTGAGTGATATTTTAAGCTGAAAATGTGGATGATTTCAGGTAATGATAACAGCCATACAGTCTAAACAAAAGAGGAGCAGGACATGGTTGACACCAGAAAATAGATACGGCTTCATCGTTGTCCAAGTGGAATAAAACTATAAGCATATTAAAGCCAGTGCTGTATTTGACATCTCATAATCTTCATCAGAGAATGGCCGTGGTCTCTTAGAGTACATTTTGACTAAATAGATAACTACCTCACTGAATTTGTTCCAAGTTTTAATCACTAACAAACATGTTTATGCTTAAAACAAACAGGTGGGCTGGGCTTGGTGGCTCACACCTGTAATCCCTGCAATTTGGGAGTTGAGGTAGGCGGATCACTTGAGGTCAGGAGTTCGAGACCAGCCTGGCCAACATGGTGAAACCCTGTCTCTACTAAAAAGTAAAAAGTTAGCTAGCTGTGGTGATGTGTGCCCATAGTCCCAGCTACTCGGGAGGCTGAGACAGGAGAATTGTTTGAACCTGGAAGGTGGAGGTTGCAGTGAGCCAGGATTGTACCACTGCACTCCAGCCTGGGCAACAGAGCAAGACTCTGTCTCCAAAAAATAAAATAAAATATAAAACAAATAGATGAGTATTTAAGATTTCTTACACTGTAAGCAATCAATTTTGGTTAGAAAAATATTTGTGTAAATTATTGGAACTGATTTGTCCTTAGAATTTTAGTTGTTTTTGGATATTTTCTACTGAAATTATCATCCCATTTATATTTTGGATTTCGGTATGGTTATTAAATTTCAATGTGCAATCATTCATTTTAAAAAGCATTTGTGACTCTGGTGAGTGGGGTGATGGGAGAGAAAATGAGGGGTGGCATTAGCCAGAGAGGTCAGGGCAGGCTGTGACAGTTGAGGGGACCCTTGGAGGCTGAAAAACACCCGGCTGTGTGGACCTCTGGGGAGTGTCCCAGACAGTGGAGCAGGAGTTGCAAAGGCCCTGGGGCCTCCTGAGCTGGCAGGGGTCACAGAGAAGGCCGATGGCCCAAGGGGATAGGTGAGGGAGAGGAGGGCACAGGCCTGGTCATGGGGGCTGGTAAGGAGTTGGGGTTTTATTATCTGCTGGGAGGGAAGTTAGCGATGAATTTTATCCCAGGAAGCAATGTGATCAGATTTTTGCTCTATTTATTTATTTGGAGACGAAGTCTCCCTCTGTCGCCCAGGCTGGAGTGCAGTGGGGTGATCTCAGCTCACTGCAACCTCCGCCTCCTGGGTATAAGTAATTCTTCTGCCTCAGCCTCTGGAGTAGTTGGGATTACAGGTGCGCGCCACCATGCCCAGCTAATTTTTTATATTTTTAGTGGAAATGGGGTTTCACCATATTGGCTGGGCTGGTCTCGAACTTCTGACCTGGTGATCCTCCCGCCTCGGCCTCCCAAAGTGCTGGGATTCCAGGAGTGAGCCACCGTGCCCAGCCAGATTTTTGTTTTAAAATTTGCTTTGGTGGCTGCAGGGAGAAAGGACCTGGGGGTGGGGGTGAGAATCCTGTGGGAAGGCTGCTGCGGGAGCTGCTGAGGTAGGTAGTGAGCACCCTGTCCCTGGGAGGTATGCAAGCTAAGGGTGCATAATATTCAGGAGAGCTGCAGCACCCAGGAAGCTGCCCTCGGCAGCCTCTGCACCCTGCACTCCTTGCAGGCTCTGATGTCTTGTGACCCTGCTCGTGCTGGACTGCAGAAACTGTCCCAGGTCCAGTGCTGGAGTGTGGGAAGGGAGGCCCCACACAGGCCCCATCCTGCCATGTGGCTGGATGCACGGGCCTCAGGTTGGACCGCAGCTCGTTCTGCCCATCTGACCAGCTATGTGTCCCTTGCTCTCTGGGTCTCAGTTTGTGCTTGTCTAATATGTGCTCACCGAGGTCAGTGCTCAGCTGTAGAGCACATACTGTGGTTTTGGTTCTTCTTTATCTACAGAGACCCAGACTCATTCATTCATTCATTCACTCATTTAACAGATATTTACTGAGCATCTATTATATGCCAGGCACTGTTTTGGGCCTCCAGGAGATAGCAGGGAACGAGGCCTGACATTCTAGTAGGGCAGGCTGATGAGAATAAATACATTGTAATAAGTGACTGCAGCCGTGGGACAATGAGATGATCCAGCTTGGGTCAGGTGGGGCGCCCAGCCCCCCCCCCCCCGGCGCCGCCTCCCCTGAGCTCACGGCCTCCTCGCCCCTACTGCCGTCATTGCCGCAAGGTGGGAGGTCATTCCCTCCCCAGAGACCTTGCCCCGTCACTTTAATTTCTCTGTGTCTGTGTGCTGGGGCCTCGGAGTGAAAGTTAATTTCACGCCTGACTTCCTGCTGTACAGGCGATTGCAGACACGTTGGAGTCACCCGAGCTGCCTCCACTGCCCTCCCTCCGCCACCTGCTTTGGGCACCGTTGGTGTCACCTGCTGCAGGAGGGCATGCTCAGACCTCTGGGGCTTTGGGAAGCTGTGGCGGGGCCGGGGCAGCCTCAGAGCAGGCTCCATCGAGGGATGCACCCCGCCCTGGGCAGGATCCTCCAGGGATTCCTGGGCATCTGTGGAGCCCGCATGGGAGGCAGTGAAAGGGTGTGGGCCCCGGGTGTGAGCAGCAGCCCGTGGTCAGGCAGGTTCTGCGCCCCTGCCCGGGGCTGCCCTGGTTCACGGCCCC